ATACTCTATAGTTGGGCCCATTGTTGTCTATTGTTGGCTATACGGCCCAAGTTATCCCTGCTAATTTCCTAATTCCTTCTCCGAGGTCTTTTAATTCCTCGTGGGTACCATGCTGCAATTTTTGTGGGTCATTTGTTGTCCGTCCTTCTTGCCAGGTATCCTGCCCATTGCCACTTGACAGATTAGACTCATTATCTGGGTCTTTTGACATCTATTATCTGGGTCTTTTGTCGTTTTCACTCTATTCTTTTACGGCCTCTCTTGATTATTCCCATCATATTTCGTTCCATTGAATGTTGTGCGACTTGCAGTTTCCTTATGATCGTCCGTTTTAAGCGTGCAGGTTTCGCATGCATAGGTCATGACTGGTAGTACACATTGGTCGAATGTTTTCTTCTTTAGATAAAGTGGCATTCTAGATTTGAATATGATTGAGTTTCTTCCATAACTACTCCATGCTAACTAGTAGAGATCCCGTGCTGTGTATTAGAATAAAACATAACTATTCATAAATTGTTATTATTAAATATGGTTAGTATACCGTTTAGACAGGTCTATGAACGCATTAATATAATCATTGTTCAAGTTTTTTTCTTTAACTTCTTCCATCATCGTTAAATAAGACTAGATAAAAACGATATGAAATCTCAAAAGGCAAAAAACTCTCCTGATTTCTTTTAGATCAAAATGCGATTTATAACTTCTAACAAACTCTAAAGCGGAAAGAATAAAAATGTCCGTGTAAGCTGGGCGTAATCTGGCCGCATCTATTCCCAGTTATAGTTAATTTTTAAAGTTTTTAAAGTTAAAATTAAAGTTAAACCGTCCAGTGCGGAAATGCCATTTACAAGGAAAGTTTAAGCTTAGTTTAGTCTCTTCTAAAGCTAACACAAAGTTTGTCTTCCTCTCCAACCATCCCGGCCATATCTGTTTTTAAAAGTTTAAGACAATACCCCTTTGAAAAGTTAGAGAAGGGGTTACTGCTTTTTTACATTGTGTTTCCTAACTGTTGAAAGTTATATTAGACATGACTTATTATCAGAGATGTGACTGATTTTAGATAAAAGTAGGGTAGACTCGGGCAAAACCGATATATCGGGCAATAACGATCACTAATATATTTCTAACCCTGCAAAAAATTAAATTTCGCAACATTGCCATTTTAAAAGTGGTGCTTATATTCTGATAAATACCGGTAGTTTTTTGCTGAATTGGTAAGTAATATTAGTTTAATTCCTTTAAAACGTTATTGCAAGACGTAAAATACTTGGTTTTCTTCCACATTAATGATGATTTTTAGCTTAAACTTCTTATTTCATATAGAATTTTTGGGTTGATCGAAAGGATATTGTTTCCTTTACACATAACCTTAAAAATTTATATTCTAAAGTATTGTTGCCATATATTTAATAAAATAAGGAGATTTAGTTAATTCTAGGAGCAAGACCGATCAGGCAAAACCGATCATGATCAGTTTTGCCCTAACTAACTAACTATTATTGTTGAATTGCCTATTTAATAATAATTGGATATAGTTAGATTCATTGCAAAATCGTCCGTTTATGTTTTTATTTGGAGCTTGGTTTTAATTTGTAGCATGGTAAAGATGGTTTTCAAATATAAGCGAATATCTTCCAGGGAGATTCATGGAGTGAGCAGACAATGTCTTTAGCATTAAATGACTTAAAGCAAGGGAAGATATCTATTAGGGGGCTTCAAAAAAATATGGAATTCCCTATTCTACTCTGGCCGACCACAAAAATTAAATACTTCAAAAAGAAGTTAGGAAGATATTCTAAAGTTTTTTCCGAGGCAGAAGAAAAAGAGCTTGTTGAATATCTGAAAGAATTAGATAAGCGATTCTATGGTTTAACCAAGAGAGATTTTTGTAAATTAGCTTACCAGTATGCGGAGGAAAAACATATTCACCATCCATTTACGAATAATGAAGCGGGTGAGCAGTGGTACGCTAATTTTATGCTGCGACATCAAGAGTTAAGTTTAAGAACTCCAGAACCTACTAGCGTCGCACGGGCTTGCGGATTCAACAGAGTTCAGGTCGAAATTTTAAAAATCTGTCTCAAATTCTGGAAAAGCATCATATTACTACGGACAATATATATAATGTCGATGAGACGGGGATCCAGACGTCAGCTAAAAAACCACCAAAAGTTTTATCCGTAAGAGGCAAGAAGCAAGTTGGCTCAATTTCGTCATCTGAACGCGGTACCCTGATAACGTCGTTATTTTGATGTTCAGCAACCGGAAAATTTATTTCTCCAACTTTAGTATTTCCTCGAAAGAAGAAAAATCCCCGTTATCTTGAAGGAACCCCTCCAGGAACATTAATGTTAGTAACGGACAATGGCTGGATTAATTCTGATGCTTTTTAGAATGGCTGAAGTTTTTTGTGGCGAGTGTAAGACCGACGGAACAGCATAAATGTTTTCTTATACTAGACAATCACGTGTCACATCGGTCCTTAAAAGGTTTTACAGTATGCATCCGAAAATCATGTGGTCATTCTGTCAGTTCCGCCCCACTCGACCCACAAACTCCAGCCGTTGGACGTTGCTGTATACGGCCCATTCGGAAAATATTTTGAGAGAGCCCTGGATAAATGGCAAAAAAAGCTCATCCAGCCCAGAGAGTCACTTTTTTTGATATAGGCTCAATATTTACCGAAGCCTATTTAAATAGCGCTACTCCTGTTAATGCCATAAGTGGATTTAAAAAACAGGAATCACAAATTGTGATATTTCCGTTTTTACAGACCTTGACTTCGCACCCTCAATCGTAACCGAAATAAACCCATTGGAATCAACGAAAACACCTAAAAATATTTACTGTACAGAAGTCAGCGAAATTGCGGCCTCTAGAAGTACTGCCTCTGAAACGACTGATGGTGCTGGACCATCCAGAGTATTGAAAGAAAATTTAGTCCAGGTTACAGATGGCTTACAAATTATATCTGCCAGTAATATAGAGAAAGATCCAACAAATATGAATAAAAATATTATGACGCCTGAAAAAAAGATTACCGTTATTTCCGATATATTGATAGTACCAAAAGCTGACTCTAAACAAAACACACGAAGAAGAAAGTCACAGAAGTCGGAAATTTTGACTTCTACACCTGTTAAAGAAGAAATTTCTCAAAAAGGAAATACAAAAAAGGAGAGTGTTACAAGAGAAAATAAAAATAGACGATGGACCAAGAATAAAAATTAAGAAAACCCTAAAACTGACGAGAAAACAATAAAAGCTAGAACGAAAAAAACAAAACAGGAGCTTATTTATCCTAAGCCACCAAAGAAGAATGTCCAGGGAGGATGTTAAATGTTTAGAATGTTATGGATTATTCTCTAATTCACGTCCACGAGAAGTGTGGATACAGTGTAATATTTGCTGCAATTGGGCGCATAAATTATGCACATATTACATAACAGGGGTATACATTTGTGACCAATGCAAAGACACTATTGTGTCTAATAGATATTAATATTAACTAGGGTTCCCAACTTGAGCATCGGCGATTCCGGGACAATTATTTTTAAGTTTTTAAATAATTGAAACAAAACATTAAATATTAGAAATTCAAATATATTATATGTAAATGTGATTTTTTTTGGTCCCGGCCAAGGCAAAATTTTCACCGGGACAAACTTTCTGATTCCTGGTTAATCCCGATCAAACCGGGACGGTTGGGAACCCTAATATTAACCAACCAAACCAAACCAAACCAACCCAAGTTGTTTCTACATGTTTCAAAATTACGTATTTTTTACATTTAAGTCACCAAAGTTTTGTTCGTTTGCTAATAAAGTGTTTTTGTGCTTATTAACCGTTTTATTTAAAAAAAGTACTTTAAAAGTAATTTGAAATTCCTGATCGCTTTTTCCCTAGTGACATAGGATATGATCGGTTTTACCCTGGGGTACTGGGCAAAACCGATATTCCGCAAGTTTTAATTTTAATTTTTGTCATCCTTATTTTTCACTATTTTGTTGTTAACGTTTTTAACACTTGTATATAACATGTTAATTTATTCACATTTGAAATCCCGATCAGATTGAAGTAAGTTTAAACATTTTATAATAGGTCAATATAAGGTGATCGGCGCTGCCCGAGTCTCCCCTATTTGAAATACTTCTAATACTAAGATACAAAATACGTATCTTAATCTAATATACCTATAAAATTCTCGTGTCACAGTTTTAGTTATAATACTCCTCCGAAACGGCTTATGATTGGGGCTCGTAAAACCAAAATATTTCTGGCTTGTAGGACCAAAATGTATCTTGGCGGAGAACCAAAATCTGGATGATTCTGGTAGTCGGACTGTCGAAGGACCAGTTGAAATAACATTCAACAACGATAACTTTTACACACTTATATTGTAGACAAATAACACAAGTGAAACTTATTAATTATACTTAAAATAACAACGTTTAAAATTTCTCGTAACAATATTATAAAAGCCAAAGAAAAAACTGTCGATATGCGGATGGCGTCTTTCGACGCGTCGTGCGTACTCTGGACGCGTAAAGCGTACTCTGGACGCCTGAAGCGGACTCTCTCTAGAACCACGTTCCAGTCTCTTAAATAATGTCTCACAAAAATAGCCATAGGCGTACAATACAATTTTCATGTTCTTAAATCTAACATTCATAACAGTGGACGACACTGCCCTAAACTTACATTGTTTAGATAGACAGACGTCTGCGACAGCTATATAGTTTTACGATCAAAATTCCCAGTGGTAATAGTTAAGTTAAAGTTATAATTTTACGAATATAAAGTAGGGTCGTTTATCATCTTAAAGGTAAAGTACCTTAATAAGGTTTTTATAATGGGAAATTTCTTCAACTTTCTTAACAGAGTAGAGTAACTTTAAACTATAAACAATTATTATAATCTAACAAAAAATGTCTTAGCTAGCCTGAACATGCCGGCCCCCTTGAAAAGGTCCGAGCTTTTCAACACAAATCAAGGATAAATCAGTGATCTAGTTTATCTTCGTCTGGCAAGGGTAGAACACACACTTTCTTGATTGAACGTCTGGTAACGTGACCGTTTGGTAATCGCACTGACACTACTCGCACAATGTTGTCTTGACCTCTATGTAGTTCGGTAATGCGTGCCATGGGCCATCTAAGCGGAGATATGTCATCTTCAACCAAAACCACAAGGGATCCAATTTTCACTTTCTGGTCTTCGTCGGTTTTCCATTTGTTTCTTGTTTGCAAAGTCGCCAGATATTCTCTGGACCATCTTCTCCAAAACTGAGTATACAGCACTTGTATTCGTTGATAACGAGTGAGACGGTTCATTCTTTCTTCAGAAATCGTTTGTTCGGGCATACTTCTTAGAGAATCGCCAATAATGAAATGCGCTGGGGTTAATGGAGTAAAATCTAGGATATCATTGGACAAGGGCGTTAAAGGACGCGAATTTAAACACGCTTCGATAGATACAAGAACAGTGTAAGTCTCCTCATACGTTAAAGAAGCGTCACCAATTGTACGTTTTAAATGATATTTTATTGACTTAACCGCGCTCTCCCACAAACCACCCATATGTGGAGATTTCGCGGGAATGAAATTCCATTTTATAGAATCCCGAGCCAAAAAATTGTCCACCTCTAAATTATGTTGTTTGTTATTAATCAACTTATAAAGTTCCAAAAATTGATTATTTGCACCAACAAAGTTCAATCCGTTATCGCTAAAAATTTGACTTGATTTACCTCGTCGTGAAAAGAACCGCTTTAAAGCATTGATAAAACTGTTTGTACTTAAATCAAAAACTAATTCGATATGTATTGCGCGCGTGGAAAGACATACAAAAACAGCTATATATGTTTTAATTAACTTAGACTTTCTTAAGGTACTTTCTTTGACATAAATCGGACCTGCGTAGTCCACAGAACAAATTGAAAATACTCTGCTAGGGTTTACACGTGCTTTCGGCAATTCCCCCATTAGAAATTCACAAGGTTTAGGTTGTACTTTGTAACAGATAAGGCAAAATTTCATGATTCGTTTTATCGCATTTTTTCCGTTAACAGGCCAATATTTTAAACGTAGAATTGATAGTAAAGTCTGAATTCCAGCATGGAAGTTTCTAATATGTGAATCTAAAATTATTAAGTCCATTAACTTGTGTTTGCAGGGTAATATTATCGGGTGTTGCTGATCGTAACTGACATTTGCGTTTGATAATCTACCGCCGACTCGTAATATGCCTTTAGAATCTAAGAACGGGTGTAAGCTTAGTATTTTACTATTTTTATGTACGTTTCTACTATTTTTCGATTCAAGTAATGATATTTCCTCCGTAAAACATTCGCGCTGTGCTAGTCGTATTAACATTTCCTGTGTTTCGTTAAGTTCCTGTATGCTAAGATTTTCTGATGATATAGGGACTTTCAATAAACAACGATTTTTTAATCTACGCACGTATCCAAAAACACGTACTAATTTCCAAAAAGATGTATATTTTTCGAAAATTGTAAACACCGTTATATCATTGTTGTCAAATTTAGTTTGCTCAGTAACGTTTAAGCTTAATGTGTTCTTTTTTAATTCGGGTAAAATTTCTAAATCAAAGTTACTTTGTATATCACTGTCTAAATTTTTCAACCTTAAAAATTGAGGTCCGAAAAACCACATATTGTTTTCAGAAAGTTCCTTTGGATTAACACCACGCGATATGATGTCTGCCGCATTATCTTTACTTTTTACGTGTCTCCAATCGTGAATGTTTGAAATTTCAATAATATTTGCTACCCTGTTGGCAACAAAGGTTTTTAAATTACATGGTTCGGTTTTTAGCCATGCTAGAACAATTGTCGAATCCGTAAAATATATTGTTCTAGATATTTCGATATCCAAAGTATTTTTTATCTTATAAACTAACTCTGCTAACAAATGAGCTGCTAAAAGTTCAAGTCGTGGTAGTGTTTGTTTTTTAAGCGGAGCAACACGTGATTTTGCCGTTAAAAGTTTAATTTCTTTTTCACCGTTTTTTATTGAAGCTAAATAGATACAAGCACCATATGCTATTTCGCTACTATCACTAAACCCATACATCTCCACCATTTCTACGTTAATTGTCAAAACGTGACGATCGATTCTTACGTTATTAAGATGCTTGATTTCTGATAAAAATTGTAACCAACGTTCTTTTAGATCATTCGGTATATCTTGGTCCCAATCTAGTTTAAGGTGCCACAATTTTTGTATTATTAATTTGCTTTAATTATGGCTGGACTAATCAATCCAAGCGGATCGTAAATACCAGAAATTATAGATAACACAGATCGTTTTGTTACCTTTTCTTCGCTCTTTGTGATCTTTATTGAATATTTTAAAACATCTTCGTTAGGGCTCCACGCAATACCTAAAGTTTTTAACTCCTTGTCGTCGTGAAATAATACTAACTTGTCGTCATATTTCTCACTTGTACTTAAAATATAATTTAATACTTTTTCGCTATTCGACGACCATTTTCGTAATTCGAATTTCGCGCTCGATAAAATATCTACTAGCTCGTGATAAATTTCCATAGCTTCTTGTTCTGTATCTATACTAATCAACAAGTCGTCAATGTAAAAGGAATTATTAATTATTGATGCAGTACGTGGAAACTTAAGTATATTCATTTCTGACAGCTCTTTTAAACATCTTGTGGCTTGGTATGGAGCGCTTGCGGTTCCGTAGGTTACGGTTTTTAAATCGAAAACTTTAATTTTTTCTTTCGGATCGTCTCTCCATAAAATTTTTTGAAAACTTTGTTTGCTTTTGTCAATTAAAATACATCGGTACATTTGTTTAACATCTGCACTTAAGACAAATTTTCTTAACCGCAACCGAATTAAAATGCTGTATAGATCGTCTTGAACAGTCGGGCCTACTATCATAAGATCATTCAGGGATACGCCTGATTCACTTTTCGCACTCGCGTCGAATACAACCCTACACCGTGTAGTAATTGAGTCTTTTATTACCGCACTGTGAGGTAAAAAGAACGATTCCTTTTCTATTGATTTGTCATCTTCTAAATAACAATTAAATTGCATGTGATCTAAATCTTCGTATTCGTGTTTGAAATTTGTATAAAGATCTTTAAAATTTCCATTTTTCTTAAAACGAGTTTCCAAATTATAAAACCGTTTTAATGCACATTTCTTCGAATTGCCTAACTGATAATTTAAATTTTGTCTAAATGGATATTTAACTATAAATTGACCCACTGAATTTCGCCTTGTTGTCATCTTAAAGTATTCTTCGCAGTATTTTTCGTCTTTCGACAAATGCTTTTTATTTTCTAACTCTTCAATCTGCCAAAATTTCATTAAAGATTTATCAAGATCTTGGTTCGTTAATTCCGAGACAAAATTACAGATCGGTTTGTCGTTAACTATATGATTTTCTGTAACATTTTTGTTATTTAAATCCGTTTCAATTCGGTCAGTATTCCGGTCTACGATGCACATAGTATGCCTAACGTTTTCTTCTCCAAAATTCACCTGTTCATTTCTTTGAGATGCAGGGTTGGCTGGGCCATCGGTTTGCTGTCGTACCTGCGATCCGTTATTGCTTGGACTATGTGGTACATTGTTGGCGCTTCTATTATTTTTTACGTGCGTGTTAATTATTGCTCTTCGATTTTCATAACGCTTCCTTAATAGTTCTATGGCAACCGAGTAATTACTTGCCGTGACGTCTAGCGATTCTATTAATTTTAAGGCATCTCCCTTACATGATAACCTCAAATATATAAATTTGTCTACATCCGATAGATCCGTGTGATTATTAACAATCGAGTCGAAAGTGTCAATAAAACTAAACCAGCTCTCGTAATTGCCAAAAAATGTAGGCAGACCTAAATGTGGTAACCTCGCAACTGCAGAGCCTTGCGTTCCTTGTTGCGTGCGAGATGAATTGAAATTTACTTTATTTTCGATTATCTCTTGCTGAGATTTGTTAAAACATGATATTATCTTTTTTGCCAACGATATTTCCGAATAAAATAACGTTTCCAAATGTAAGCCTTGATCATCTTCATCTGGTACTAAGTACTCTAGACGGGTTTGAATTCGATTAAATTTACTCATATCCTCTTCCACGATTTTTAACCTGCTTTCAATTTGAAATACATCAACGTCTAGAATATTTTCGATATCTTCCTGAATTTTTAAAAACTGAGAAAAACGAGATAAATGAGCTGAAATTACCTTACGTGCGTGTATAAGTTCTGATTTTTCATCATCGTTTGAATTAGAGTTACTGTTAGTTTTCGACGATTTGTTTCGTGGCATTTTGACTTACGATTCGTATAAAATGGCTTTTCAATATTGATTCGAGAACGAGAACTTATTCTAGCGAGTATATACGTGCGAGATAACGATTAAATCAATAAATATAATGCGAGACGAGAATCAACTTATTATTCGTGAAGTTCGAGAAATTCGTGACGTTCGAGAAATTCGAGAAAATACGTATTTTTTAAACCAAAACGTGCATTGATTAACGAGAAACGATTGAAAAACGATGCTATAACAATTGTACGAGGATTAAATTTCTTTCGAGAATAAATCGTTACGTGTAGTATACTATTTAAACTAATAATATACGAGATATTTCAATACAAGATATTACGAGACGTGATTACGAGAAATAAACAACAAGAAAATATATTTTTACGTGAAATATGTCTATTTGACATCTAGAAATACGAGATATATATGCTACAATTTTACGCTGAACTAACAAATACGAGATTATGAAAAATAAGGAAGGAGTAGGTAAAAGGAAATAAGGATATAGCGCTAATCAAAAACGATCTCACCAAATCATCTTCTTCAATCTTCAAACTGCTTCGATATCTTCATAACATCAATTTTCCATAGGTTTTTCTGATTCCTTGATCCGGGCGAAGTGACCAAAATGGTTGGGGCTCGTAAAACCAAAATGTTTCTGGCTTGTAGGACCAAAATGTATCTTGGCGGAGAACCAAAATCTGGATGATTCTGGTAGTCGGACTGTCGAAGGACCAGTTGAAATAACATTCAACAACGATAACTTTTACACACTTATATTGTAGACAAATAACACAAGTGAAACTTATTAATTATACTTAAAATAACAACGTTTAAAATTTCTCGTAACAATATTATAAAAGCCAAAGAAAAATTGTCGATATGCGGATGGCGTCTTTCGACGCGTCGTGCGTACTCTGGACGCGTAAAGCGTACTCTCGACGCCTGAAGCGGACTCTCTCTAGAACCACGTTCCAGTCTCTTAAATAATGTCTCACAAAAATAGCCATAGGCGTACAATACAATTTTCATGTTCTTAAATCTAACATTCATAACAGTGGACGACACTGCCCTAAACTTACATTGTTTAGATAGACAGACGTCTGCGACAGCTATATAGTTTTACGATCAAAATTCCCAGTGGTAATAGTTAAGTTAAAGTTATAATTTTACGAATATAAAGTAGGGTCGTTTATCATCTTAAAGGTAAAGTACCTTAATAAGGTTTTTATAATGGGAAATTTCTTCAACTTTCTTAACAGAGTAGAGTAACTTTAAACTATAAACAATTATTATAATCTAACAAAAAATGTCTTAGCTAGCCTGAACAGCTTATATTCAGTAGGTCTGAGAATAGGTTGTTATTATTTTTTTTCAACAACCTCAACCTGTATATAACTACTAGTAGAGGTATGGGCAAAGATTGAACGAGTCGTTCATTTGAAAGAGAGAAATGAATCATGAGATTCGATTCATTGCTTGCAATACGATTCGTTCAATTGAATTGTGGCCAGCACGGATCTATAAGATTTGAATGATGAACCGTAAAAAAGAATTGTGAGAATTGAATCGAATCACAATGCGATCGTGGGTTCAAAGAGTTGAGAGAATTGATTCATTGCTTACAATAGGGTTCGTTCAATTGAATCGTGGCCAGCACGGATCCATAAGATTTGAACGCTGAGCCGTAAAAAAGAATCGGATCACAATGCGATCGCTCGTTTCTACCGGCTCCGGCGGTGATATGGCATAAATGCAGGCACCAATATTTAGACTTGAACAAAAGCCCTAAACAAACATCATAGGCCTAAAATGCAAACGATAAGAAAGTTAATTATAGGAAAAAAAACTTGTTTATACTGTGCTTAATTTTCACGTTAATATTTTTGTTAAAATATAACGACTATTAAATGTCGAACTAAAAGACGAAATCGTGTTTTTCTGCAACCCCAAATAAATATTGTTGGCTTCTGCTGATAAAAAAAACGGCGTCAGCGATGGTTATAAATGAAGAACGCTGTCATTTTATATGTAAAATTATATGGGAAATGTTCATTTTCAAGCCAACTGGACGTCATTTTTTTTTCGATTATGCGATATTATATACTAATGATTATGATTATTAAATATGGAATTAAAATATGGCTCTAAAAATATTAAATTGATATTAAAAAGTCTTTAATAAATAGTATATATAAATTGGATTGATAATTTAATATTATTGGTAAAATAATCAATCCAATTACGCCAGTGTCAGAAAGTGTTCAAAAACAAATGAAAGAACTGTATATTTCTTTTTCTGGTCCCTTAAGTAATTGTCCTACCAAATTATCGCCGGTAGTGCTAGTTACGATTCTTGTCTTTATAAAACGTAAATTGTGCATGTGGTTCGTTCAAATGAATGAATCGTAGGAGTCTATTCAATATGAGAAATTGAATCGTTTGATTCGATTCACTAAAAAGAATCGTAATGCCCATCACTAACTACTAGGTAGTTTTCAAAATAGACTTACTTTTATCAAATTATAGGAAAACTTCTTCAGCAGTACACGTTATATTATACGATGTTCGTTAATACAACTTTTTTGACAACCTATAGCATTTTTATGTTTACATCTGGTTTGAATATCTTGGGTTAGAGACCTGCACGGGCCGGTTTTTTGTAGCCCGACCCGGCCCGGCCCGAGAAGAGAAGTAGGTTTTGTAAGCCCGGCCCGGTTTGTGGAAAGTTAAAACTTAAACTAGTCCGGCCCGGCCCGAACCATTAAAATTAAAAAT